ACTTAAATGACCATGTAGACACGCCCTTAGGGTATTACATTGTATAACTATTAGAAGTTCACAGTGAAAGACTGATAAACCCGTCACTTGATATTTTGTGTACAGTACTGTAATAGTCTTAGGTCTATGGGATAAATGTAGCTAAGTGCTCAGTGTGGTTTAAACCCCACTTATTCTATGGCAGTGGTTCTCAACCTTGATAGATCCTTGGAAAATGCCATCTCTTAATTTTCACTTGTTTTTTGACTTTAGAAAAATAAGAGCATTTCTTCTGTTGCAAAAAACTCAGAAAGAATAGGTCAGAATGTTTTCAACATTATGAATTTCTATTTGAAATCTCCTGGTTTACCTTTGTGAATCATGCTTGCACACATAACAGTGCTAATCTTGCATGGCACCCTGTGGCACCCTTGAAAGGATCCTGTGGCACCCTGATTAAGAATCGCTGCTCTAAGGGTACCCTTTTCCATATAAGAGAGCTATGCCATTTTTTCTAGCAGTCCCCTAATTAAGCCAATATGGAAACAAATAAGCAAACGAATCATTCAGTGCTTGCAGGCAAAGCATAAAGCATTATCTCTTCATCCCTCTGACAATGATTTTAGCCTAATCTGATTTAGCTCCAATGATTTTTCAATTCCTAGCTCAATGGATGGGTAACAGTAATTTACTGGTGATCTCTGTTTGCCAAAGGCTCAGAGTAGAACTAGAATTAGGACAAAGGTTTCTTTGAGGTTAAAACACTGGTCGTGAAAATTAATGAGAAAAATCTTCAAGCAGCATTAATGGCAATTATGTACTGACCCTCTTCCTCACTCTGGTAGACTGGTGGGCTTATCCCTTGTTGATTTACTTCTTTTACAATTTAAAAAAATGCAAATAGATAACAGAATTTGCACAGTCTAGTAACATAGTACATATGCTGGAGAAATCAGGATAAACACACATTCTTACAGAACATATATATTTTTATATCTATAGAAGATGGCTTCACCATGAGAATAAGACCTTAAGCCATAAATTCCTTCCTTTCACACATACCACATATGTTATCAATACTGATGTGTTTAATGCATTTTGAGAGAGGCAGAGGGACAAATTCTACATCAGTGGAATAAATAAACATGTAAAGATATATAAATACATTATATTCTCTTAATATCCTCCCTACTTCTAGTGGGCCCTGCCCTGGTTATTAGAGAAGGTAGAATTTGGCATGCAGAGGGGCTCTACCAAATAATAAAGTCAGTGGCAGACACTGTTCCCAGTCTTGGTTTGGTTTGGGAGGAGTGGTAGAAAAGATAAGATTTGGCTTGAAATACTTGTAACTGGGCTAAGCCAAAAATTTAAATGTTAGACTGAAATTCTGTCCATTGGCACTTGAAATTTGGCTCCTTCATGGTAGTGTATGATTCATCCACATACGTAACGGCTGCAGCATCACACTTGAAAGTTCAAGTTCAGCTACTTATCTATCATCCTCACCTTTTAACCCCTGGTTTCTTTCAGAGTCTATGCCTCCCAGGGCAGAGTCCTTGTCCTGTAAGCATGGCCTGCATTCTTTGTTCCTAGGAGCATGTCTTGACATGTAGCTGTGTTAAAACACACATTGTTTGCTTGCATCTATCTTACCAGTTGATCCAAGATGCTCTCTATAACAGTGACCTGTCCTATTATTGGCCACTTCCCTAATCTCTGCAAACTATATGGGATTATTTTGTCTTCTTTTGAGTAGTAGATTCTGGGACAAGCGCTTATCCTAGCCAGACCCCACTAGCAACTAAACTGCTTAAAATGTAAATGGAGAATCATCATTAAGACATCAGTTAGATACATTTCAATACACAGTTTCTTTAGCCAAAGTTGTGATGATAAGTTAAGTGCCCTACAGAAGTCAATCAAATTTGTAACCTTGTATAAAAACACAGTCAATTCGACAACATCTGTTTTCTTAAAATTCCCCTGATCAGCAATAATTAACATCTTTAGCCTTTTCAAAATATTGGCATGTTAGCTTTTTTTCTAATCCTGTGGAATTACCCTAGTGCAGTGGTTCTCAACCTTTTTTGTACCAGGACCCATTTGAAAAATCAAAGGCCAGTCCCGACCCAGTGCCCCTCACTTCTGACCTGCTGCTCTAGCCCCTCACTTCTGAGTCGCGACCCACAGGTTGAGAAACACTGTCCTACTGTTCCAAGGCTTATTGAAAGATCAGCATTAATGGTGAAGTAAGCCCCTTGGCCAACTCTTTCAAAACACTTGGATGCAAGTTATTCGGGCTGGATAATTTACAAGTGCCTAACTTTAAGAGGTCACATTTAATATTTGCTGAAATTACTGCTGGACTGGAAAGTATGTCATCACAGTCATAAGTACATCATCTACCTTTCTCTCACAACAAAGAAAAAACTTGTTTGCATTCTTATTGACAATTTTATCATTTCAGAACTGAATGTCTAGGCATAGTGGTCTAAAGATACATTTTCAAACTTTTAATTTCCAGACATATATCCATTTAATATTTCTATTAAAAATAAAAAAGGAAAACCAAATTTTTCATTTTCAAGGAAAAAACAATTGCCTAGATTAAAAGAATACTCTTCACTTTTTGTCTAAGTTTGTGCCATTTTTGAGGTGCAGTTCAGTAACGTCCCACCTGAAATGTTAATACACTTGTGAAATCCTAGGTACTTCAATGGAGATCTATGTATTCTAGTTCTTAGATGAGAATGGACTCAGGCATCTGAAAACACAGCTGGTGTGCATGCTCAGTGTACACTGTTTTGAATGAGAAGTGCATGCACGCTGCTGACTGAATCTTGTCCAAGTTTGTTTGGGATTCACAAACTGTGCATATCTACTTCTCTCTGAAGGCCTGATTTGTTAGGTTACTGCCTAGCCAAGGCTTGGTCATATATGGCCTGTGGAACTTCCTGTCTGGGATACTGATGATACTTTTCCCTGTTGCCAAGCAATGTAGCAAAGGCCCACCCTGGTGGCCCGTGCTCTGTGTCTGATCAGGGCTCCATGCAGCTGGGTAGACGGTCACCCGCTGGCACCATGCAAGCAGGAGAAGTGGTGGCAGAAGTGGCTGTGTTGGGAATACTGGCCCACTTTGGTTGACCCGAGCCAGGTTGATTTGTTGCATTGCTGCATAACCTTGTTGATACTTAGGCTAGCCTATAGCCTAATAGCTAACACACATTTCTTGGAAGTGAGATGGGGGTTCAAACCCCACAAGTTGAAGAAGGCCTAGAATCCAGGCCTCTCATTTTCTGAACAAGCGTATTAACCAGAGGGCTATTGGAACAACAATGGATAGACCCTCTACCTCTTTTGATTCAATAAGGCCATGATGTTACTGGCAATATTTGGCTGTTTTTTGGCAAGGATGCCAGAATCACTCAGTTTGGGTTGGAGGCCGGCAGGTATCAGGGCCCAGCTGCAACAGTTACTTCTCTCCAACACTGTGCTGAGGTATAGCACAGTGAAAGTCCTCCTTTATTGGAGCTCATACAGCCCAACTGAGGTGCAACACAAGCAGAGCTCCCGTTCCCTGGAGCCCCAGGTAGCTGACTAGCATGGAATAGGGAGAGCCCCTCACTGCCAAATCCATGGCTCTGTAGGCTGGATCCAAAGGCTCTGCAGACTGGCTCTGGGCTAAAGGTTGAATGTTGCTTACCCCTTCCTTAGATCATTAAAGCCTAGCCAGTGGCTTTGGGTTGTGACTCTCCCACTAGTATAAACACCTAACTCAGCTTCAGGGAATTTACTAACTGCAGATGAGAAGCAGAATTCTAGACACATGCTGCTGTTTCAAACTGCCTGTTGGCTGTCTTATGCATCACCCTGTGTAGCATGATGAATGCTGTATATTCCAGTTAAAAGGCACTTGTGGATCTCCATTCAAGTTATGGAGACCCAAGATGCATAACTTGTTTTTGGAATTCCACTTATGGAATGTGCATGACTTAACTCTAAGTGACACACTGTAAGGGTGAGTTGCCATTATGATGTACCTTAGGGTCGGTGCCTTAAATGACCTTGCATTAGGCCTGTAATGACATTTAATGAGTATATTTTTAAAAAGCCTGTTAAATAGTACACTTGCTAATTTTTAAATGGTGTATTACAAAGTAACTACCAGGTCAAAATATCATCTTTGTAGTTGTTTAATGACACTTTTTAACAGGGAATTTAATAGCATCTACCATATAGTACATATAGGCTGATAGACTGCTTTTTATATGGATATTGGGGACTAAACTCTTCTGTGGTGTAACTCCCTTTAGGTATTTAAGAATTTACAGTGAGAACAATTTTGGCCTGTTATTCCTGTTCTGCCAAAGTTGTAAAAATGCACATGGGCCTTCTGAGTGATATGTTATAGTAGCTTTATAACCAATTGTCTAATAATCTATTGTTACCTGTTCAGCAACAGCCCTCATGGCTTTGGAAATTGCTTTTTACAAGGCCTGTACATAATGGTCCCTATGTGGATAATGTTTACATGTGAATTGACTGCAAAGTTGCATTGAAGTTATAAACAGTTTGATGATAGTTATCAGTGAATCCCACTGATACTTTAAACAGTAATGGAAAATTGGGTGTTAAATTTAAAAAAATGGATTTTTGTACCATTTTTAGAGATCTGTTCAGTAACTACTATGTTCTGAGAGCAATCTAGCCATATAAACACCATGGCCAAAATATGCAGTTGAGAAAGTGCAATAAATATATGTTAAGTGCAGTTTATGCAAAAAAGATCAATATGCTTCTGTGTGCAATGTTCTTACTGTTATAGCAATGCACAGAGATTTATTCTAAAAATCTGCCACTATCAACATCTTGACTAGTGTATTTTCAAGAGAGACACCAGTGAGAGCTGGAACTCCTATTTGGGCCTAATCCAGCCTTTCTTACACAGATGAAACTCCTACAATGAGCTTTGTACAAGAGATGCAATGCAGTGAGACCAGCGGGTGGCCTATAGTACTTACCGAACACATATCCACTTCTTTTTCCACTGATGAATGGGACTCATTATTAGCTGGATTCTTTGGTGCAGCAAACTCAGGTTTCTTTACTTTTGTATCAGGTTTGTTTTCTTTGGCTTCTGACTTAGTCACAGATCTGGCAGGACTTGACTTCTGTGGTGGTGGTATTCGTGCAAGTGCTGAAGATGATGGATTGGCATCTTCATCTTCTCCCCTACGCTCATGTGGATGCAGTGTTGGATTTGATTTTACATAGTAGCCATGGTAATGATCATGCAGCTCCCCATTCCCTGTACTGCTGGGATTGTGGTAGGCAGAAAGCTTTGGCTGATATTTCACAGCTACCTCCTCCTTCACAGGTGCCTTTGAATACAGCGGCTTGTTAATTGTGGGTGTTATATTCTCACTAGCTAAAATCTTTTTTTCTTGATTGAGTCTTGCCCCTGAGCTGGAGTTTTGACTTTTCAGCTGTTTTGCAGGAGAAGGCTTAACAGGAAGAGGAGGGCTGTGCCTTGGGCTTGCTTTGGGAGTCCCAGGTGGTGTAGTGCCTTTTCGATAAAAATGAGGAGACTCTTTGGGGGAAGGTGGTTTTTCCTGAACCTTTTCTTCTGGTTTCTCTTTAACCTCCATCCCTTCTTGAAATTTTTGTTTGATATAATCAGGGCCTGCAAAACAGTATAACAAGGTCTTAAGATCAAAACAAGAGAAGGACCTGACAGCAAAGCTGTCACATGGTGGTTGTGGATCTGGAACACCATGCTGAAATACAGAGATAAAGTAACAACTTGCTTAGTTAGGGGCTAGTTTATTATAAGGCAGTTACCAACAGAAATTCTTTATGTTTTGCCTTCTACTTGGTGAATGGGCTTTTTACTACTGGGTTGATCACTTTATTGTATCAGCCTTGGAAAAGGCCATATAAAATGCACTAAATCTGTTTCCAAGTTACTGAACGGCTGAAGTTTAATTTGTTTCATATACACACCTGCTATATTTCTGAGTTCTTTATCTTGTATACCAATTAGTTACCCTTATCAAGATCATATCTGCTTGTTTCCTAAAATTGAAATAAGAATCTTTCCCTTGGTCTTCACAGTCTATAGGAAGATACAACTTTTGGCTTGGTTACATTTATGTGTTTTCATTGCCTCTGTCTACGGGTTTATTTTTCTGTATAGTTAAGACACATTCTTGTACAGGCATTGGCTCTAACCCCCTCACTCAGCCGTACCCACAAACTCTTGAATGTGATGCTAGTGCTTTCAACTAGCATTAGTCAGATGGCCCCTCTGCAGCACTACACTAAAACCCAAGTGAAACTTTTATTTGAGCTGATAGCACAAAGTTATTGAGGAAAAAGACTAAATCCACACTAGTACTGGTACCTTTAAGGCAACTCTTATCACAAGCTCAGAAAACAGGCAAGCTCTCACAGAATTCATTTGGAAACAGCTTTATAAAATGCTCAGCTAACTGCATCGTGGAGAACCATGGAATGTGCTCCTAGAAGTTCTAGGCACATATACACAGGTGACTGGTGCCAGTGTGAAGCCAGTAAGCTGGGTATATCTTTCAGTCTGGCTGCTCACATACAGGTTAGACTGATCCATTTGCTCATATCTGCCTGTTGGTGACCTGAATTTATTCTGCATAAATTTAGTTCTGAATGCTAGGGAATGCAGTGGAAACTCAGATGTCTTGCGGGAGTTAATTCCACACCTAAATCCAGCCCCCATGAAGTTCTGGAGCTGTAACACTGATAAACAATTGTGTTTACAATAAAACCAAAACAACCCACGTGTCTTTTTTATTTATACTCTTTTATAATAATTTCCATTAATAAGTTGCAACTGTTGCTTTCAGGATTTGGGAATATAGTTGCTAATATTGTTATTTTTTTCTGCTTTTGCATTTTCTACAAGGGAGCCTTAGTTGAGTTTTCTTTCATGACAGAATTTTGTGGCTTGACTGTATTCATCATTCTTTTTTGTATATTTCAATTAAAGAGACTTTAATTGACACAAGAAAGCAACATTTAGACAGATCCGTCAGGAATGCATACATTATTCATTGCTGGGCGGATGGTAAGGAGTGGTATGAGGGCATGGGAAATATTGAATGGGTCTTGCCCAGGACAAGAACTGTTTGGTGTATAATGTATTTGGGTGGGGAAGTCACAAGGTTTCTTAAGTATCTGTAAAAGTTGGTAATGGAAACCATCAGTAGCTGGGGATGAAGGCTGTGTCTTAGACAAGTCAGGATTTGTTTTTACAAGTAGTTTGCTGTTGGTGTCTGGGGATTTTGGGAACAAAGGACAGAGGGAGTGGAGTAGAGAATTGGTGAGATTCAAGTGAAGGAATTTATTTTTTAAATTATGACCTCACCAAGAAAGGAAATAGAGAAGTAGCCAATGTAAAGCTACTGTTCTATAAACTCACTGCTATAGTGAGAAATCTTTGAAATTCCACATCCTCAAGGGGATTTCCTTCCCTCCAGACAAAGAAGCATTTGATAATACTGAGCTCCATGAAGGATTTTTATGCCCAAATACTATCAAATTCCTTAATTTGGTGGGTGCCAGGGGACGTGTATTTATCTGTGAATGTACACTGCATAGAAATAGGTAAGAGAAAAATGTGACATCAGACTTGTTTACTGTGAAGGGAGATTGTATGTACTCTTCCTTTACAAGGAAAAAATCACAGATAACAATTGGATCAATATCAAATGATACTGATAGAAGGTGTTATGACTTAACTTTTACATCTGCATGCTCCTGTAGTGACACACACTTAGCAACACTGTTGTAGACTTGTTTCATTCAGGTTTAAAGTTAGACCAGTTTAGCTAACCTGTATTCTCACAGAATCATGCAGCTATAACATTTAGTGACTTGCAGTCCCAAGCAGCAACTCCCTTTTTAAGATGGTCACAATATCCATTTCTGAAAAGCCTTGAGAGCTTTGGCTTACAAACTGTGGCAAATAGTTAACAGTATTTTTAAAGAGCCATGCCTGTTTATGTATAGCAAAGCCTCATTAAAGTAAACACTTTATAATCCACAGAAATTGGAATCTCCTTCATCACCTAGAAAATTGTAATAACAATGTGTTAACCTGGGTCTGCAGCATGATTTCAAATGATTAATGTCCTGAATTTTTAAAACATGTATTACATTTTATTTACAACACTGTCCCTAAACATTCAGAAGCATAAAATTGTTTCGATAGTTATGATATTCTGAAAAAAATGTATGTTTCCTTTGCCTTCTGGTTCCTCAGTCTTTATACCACATTCTGGTCATGTTTCCATGCTTTTCTCCACATTCATGAAGGCTACAAATGTTCTTAAAAACAAGAAATCAAGCATGTAATTGCTTGTTTCCAGAAGCTTGGCCTGTAATAGAATACCATACAAAAATAGTATGTGTATCTTACTGTCAACAAGTACATCCATTGGACCAGGTCATTATATTAATATATTACCAAGGTAAGAGTCTGATGGTGTAACTCAGATGGTATGACAACATATTTTTATGCTATGTATAAAGTTCATGTAGTGGTAGTAGTAGTAGCATATTTTCAGTTGTTCTTAAGGGCTGAATAAGCTTTTACATTCTAGTCTCTCCATAGCTATTTCTGGGTGACCTTGGATAAGTCACAATTTCTCTCTATTTCAGTTTGACTAACTGTAAAAAGACAGTCTAGCAGATGCAATAAATATACTTGTTTGTCCCTGCTCCAGAAATATTTCCTGTTGTTTAAAATGAGGAGTCAATTTTAGCACAGCAGAATCTTTCTACCAGGTAGCGATTGTTCTGATGTGTTTACCATAAACCAGGAGTCAGGAACATTTTGGGGTAGAATGCCAAAAACACCCTCAAACCTTGACTTGTAAGATGATGGCATGCAAGGTTGGATGATAAGGGAACCACAAGAGGCCTGATTCTTGTTGTAGTAGCACAGCCCTGGCCCCTTCCCCACTGTCTGCCCTGAGGTGTGTGCCAAGCAGAATTGCCTTTGTGTTCCCTCCTCTGACACCTGTGCTGGGGGTTGCCTATCCCTGCCATTATCCAGTCCTCCCCTCTGCAATAGAGGGATGCTAGCTTAAAAAAAGAAGATCTTGTTTAGACAAAATGAACTTTGTGAATATTTTAAAAATTTCCTAGAATAAAAAAACTCTTGCTTCTAAAATCTGGAGAAATTTAGGATAAAGGAATGAAATGGTTAAATATTAGCAGGCGATTGCAGACAAAGAAAAGGTGGCAATGCTACTTTACAGGACACAGAATATCATATTTAAACTACAGCACAGGCTGACAATATGCAATTCAATTTCACACTATTTCAGTTATAATTACTAGATAAGCATACACCTATTCCTGTCTTAACCAAAGTACACATTATATGACATCACCTAGATAACTTTAGTGCTGTATAAATAATATAATATTAATTGCTTTTGGACCCAGTAAATTTAACTCTTAGCTAATGAATAGTATAATGTTAATTTCATGATAGTTTACTTAGGGCTTAGCTGACTGAGTTGACACAGAGACCCAGATATAATGACAGCATCAAACCCTGCACTTACTGAAGTTGGTACAATGCTATGTCTGCAATTTATTACTATTATTTATATAACATTACAGCCTAGAGAACATAGCCAAGATTGGGCCCCTATTGTACTGAGTTTTGGGCATTCCCTTTGTAAGAGGGGGACAAACTGACGCTCTATGTAGCTTTATAATCTAAAGACACAAACACCAGGCAGAAAAAGGAGGCATCGACTCCTGTTTCCTACAGATGGGGAACTGAAGCACAGAGGGCATTTAGAGAAATGCTCTGGGAGTTGGGGGTGGGAGGGTGCTTTAATTTGGGCGCTTTAATCAAAAGAGCCCAGAGCGTTATGTGTATCAGTGTCCCAGGGCTGAAAAATGGTGACGGTGCACTTTGAACCAAAGCTCATTAAACAAGCTTTAATTTAAAGTGTCCCAACACCATTTTTCAGTGTAGGGACACTGATACACGTGACCCTTGTGTCTGCTGGAGTGTGGTAATTATCATGATCCTGCAGACTTGATTGAGTCTGCTCCGACATGCTGTAATTACAGTGAGTCAGAGCAGCCCCCCTGCACGTGTATAGGAGCCCAGAGAGATCATGAGCTCCCATTTAGCTATGTGAACAGTTCCACTGAATTCAACAATAAGTTATCACTGGGACTCTCACATGTTTAAAGCTTTGCTTGACTCTCAGACAAACACATATGTGTCATGTCTTTGGTTCAGTTAAGAATTATGTTTACCAAAATTAAAAAGGTAATTATTACTTTCATTCTGGTCTGGAAGAAAGAAACAGTAAATAACGATTAGGTATATACGCAGGTCTTTGCCATACATTGTGCCCTGGAACAAAGCAAGAACACAAGCTGGTTGCAGCAGAAGCTGAAATCCTGTCATTTAAGCAACTAAAGATCTTTTTGTACAATCAGTGTTGCTACCACTGATTGTTATGTGCTGTTTGAGGAATAAGCTAGTGAAAAATGTGATTTATTATTCTGTGAAATGATCAATGTTTTTCTGTAAAGCCACAGCTGCCAACAATAACTCGCTCTGTCAGTGAGAATTATTTGATATTCTATCGACTGTTCGTAAGACATGTCTGA